GTCCACATTCCTGCATTATTTACTTTGACTTTTTCAAAATATCTCCAAATCTTCCTCTTTTCATTTTCTCACATTTTTTTTCTTACTGTTTTTTTTTTTATTGTTTAAAGAACATATAAATGAGATCTTAAAAATTAAAATTAAAGTGTTAACAAAGAGTAGATTACTGTGATGTGAAGATCCACCAATCACAATGCTTATTAAAATGTCTGTTTCTTTCTAAGATTCCCTTGTTGCTCTTTCTGAACTTCAAGCTGCCAAGAAAGAGAAGTTACAAAAAAAGTCACAGTGTGAAGAGGTAATGCACAACAATAACAATGTCAAACGTTAGATAAAATGTGTCAAATATCATTTTGTTTTTAATTTTTTATTCTCACTTGGTTCAGTGGTAGGAGATAATTGAACATTCTAGTTGCATAAATTTTAAACATGTTGAGTGGTATCTTTCAGTAAAATAATCTTATTCTTACTCATTTATGTAAGTACTCAAAAGAAATTTGAAATTCATTATAATAAACTTGTAACTTATTATGTTATGCAATATTATATAATTTTTACTTACAATATATATATATAAGTTTTTTTTTCATAAGGAATTCATCTAGTATGCAATTTTAAAAGACATTTTACTAATAGAAAACATACATGTATTATATATTGTATCATATTTATCGTAAATTATATATATATATATATATATATATACACACACACATATATATATACACATACATATGTATATATATATATATATATATATATATATATATATATATATAAACATATATATATATATATATATATATATATATATAAACATATATATATATATATATATATATACACACACATATATATATATATATGCATAATGATTTCATGTAACAAAATTATTACTATTTCCAGATCAAGAGTCAATTAATCAAAATTAGCCAACTTCAGGAAAAGAAAAAGCTGCTTGCATCCAGACTTGTTCTTCTTAGTCAGGGTGTAAATGCTGCAGATATTTATGCTGGACCAGATCCTAGAGTCAGAGAGCTTTACAATAACCTTTGGGACTTAAAGGAGAAACTTTCTGCCTATAGAATCATTGGTAAATCTCGTAATAGTCTCTGTATATGAAACATTGTAAATCCTTAATATTGCTATAACTTAGCCAATTAACCTCAACGAAAGGATTATAAAACAGAACGTTTAATAATCAATTATAAACTACATCTAGAGCCAAACTAATGATCACATCTTAGGCCTTCTTGTTTTCCATCTCTCCTCTGTTCCTCCATCGTGTCCTATGGTACACTATATCGCGCCAAATGACAGTGCGCAATGTAGAGCCATAACAATATTAACTTTAGGTGGCAGTTAATTAATCTTATTATCTTTAAATAATTAAATTTCATTAGGAATTTAATATTATTTTTAATTAGAAATTGTATGTTCATGAATCCATTTAGCATTATGTATTCATGTTGTACCTTGTTTAGTAGTCTGTAATTGTAGTTATAACATGCATAAAGAGTTAAAATCATACCCTATCTGACCAGCTAACAAAAACTAATTTACAGAGTTCTTCACAGCCCTTAGGATAGTTTTTGAAACACTTTTTGGCTGTGTAAGGTGACCATACCAGCTAAACCTTTTGGCTGATCTTCAACTTTATTTAATGAAAAACAATCTCACTGAAGCATTTGAAAGAGCTTGTGTAATTTATCATATATTTCTGCATATATATTTAGAATGTTAGCTGCCCTGATCTTCATTCTGAATGCAACAGACTTTCTGTCTATTATCTCTAGAAGTTCATTTTTATATTTTGCTAGGCAGGCCATGTAAGCAGAATCGGTCTTTTAATATGTTGAGTACATGTAAAAGAATAATAGAGAACAGAGACTTGTCTAACTTAACATGCCATTTTCAAATACTTAATTAAATGAAATATAAGAATACACTCAGATCCTGTATGGTATGAAATTGCATTATATAATATTTCACAAACTGAAAAAAAAAATCAAAATAAACACTCATCACATACTTGGAGTAATTTGTCAGCTATCTGATATAAACTTTTGGCATGTAAATTATGAGTCAGGTGTGAAAGTATATTTTAGTATTCTATAATTATAATGTTTTGTTTGGTGTAATGCACAAATTCTAAGACAAATTTCCGTATGGATAATAAAGATTCTTCTTCTTATTATTATTGTTAATATTATTTTAATTCTCTATAATTACTCAAAGTTGGAATAGCTGTAATTTAGCGAAATAGGAAATTATATTTTACTGTTAAATCTTTTTCCTTAGGACCTTGTGGTATCACTGTTGTAGAGAAAACTACAGACCAGCTAGTAGTCAGCTTTACTTCTATGTGGCTTCATGTGACTGAAGCATTTACTCTTAGAGTGAAAGTCTCAGAAAGTCAGTTAAAGGTAAATATTATTAGTTGTTTGAAGTCAATGCTTTTTTTTGTGTGTCTGGCTCTGTGCAGAAGTCAGTATACAAAGTAGCCTCAATAAAAAGAACATGTATCACTGAAAAACTACAAAAATCTCTGTTGACAATTTTTTTTTTTTTTTTTAAAAATCTGTTTCTTGATTTTGCCATTAAATCTCATAACAAGGAAATTGTCACTGTAGCAGTCAACGTTTAGTTGCCAATCAGAATTCACAGTGTGCCTATCCTTTTTTTCAGCTGGTGGCCATCAATTTCCAGCCTCTGTAGCTTTGCAGTATAGGTAGAAGTTTCAAGGAGCCTGATGGTACCTCATTAAGGGAATATCACATACTTTGCATTTTATCTTCCCCTCTTTATTTAGTTTGATATTGCCCAACTTCTTGTGCTCATGTTGTGACCAAGCCACACACTCATCTTACTCTTGTTCAAAGGGAGGATACTTCATTGGTCTGGGCAAAGTTAGCTCTTTATTCTTCTACTTCCTACCCAAATAATATGCACTTCAAAATGTCCAACCAGCTTTTTATCTGGTAGTCCTCTTTCGTGCACGATCTTGGCAAAGACCTTTCACAGTGTTTACACAGTTTGGCTATTAATCATATTTTTTTTTTCCTTTTCAAAGAATATCCACAAGCTTTTCATTTCTCACACATCTTGTTACTGGAGAGGTTTCATTAATAATATTGCCTTTATTTTTATAACATTGTTTTTGCATATGTATCATAATTATAAATCATACTTTCTAATAAAAGTTAAAGAAAATGTTTTGATGAGAAATCTATTTTGTTTCTTCAGGTAGCCAGTACAACAATCCCTTATTTTATAGATGTCCAGTCTCTATTAGAGCATTCAAAACATCTGTCTTTGTCCCAGCAAATGGACAACATTGGACACAAGATTAATGCTTATATTCGGAGGAAAGGAGAGCTTGATTTTGTCAAGGTATCATAAAAAGATAGTATTACAGTAGAAAAATTATTTTTTTTCTAGAGGCCTTGGGTATTTGTTTAAAATTATGACTGTATTAAATGTTTTCTTTCATTTCAGAAAGAACTTGAGAGTTTTTTGACAGTGTGTGAATCTGATGAAGCAGTGACCAATGTGGAACTGACATTAAACAAAGTGTGTCAAAATGATAAGAAGATGTTTATTTATATAATCTATCCAACAATGGACTCTCTTTTACCCGAAACTGTTAAGATAGCAATAGGTAAGTACATCTGTTAATAATAAAAAATACCATTAGTCTTTCTGTTAATATTGGGGAAAATGTATTAAGAATGATTTCTATGTTCCCCTGCTGCTCATTTGTTTTAAAAGAAAAGTATTCTAAAGCAGCCTGTACTTTTGAAATAACTTAATTCTTTCAATACATGAGAAAGGTGTTTTCTGTTTGGTAAATCAATCATAATTTTTTTTTTTCCCTAAGCCAGCAAGAATTTTTTTTTTCTATTTTTATTTATCTATTAAATAGATCTTTCATATTTTTCTTTTGATCATTGGGATTTAAATGCTAAGTCTGGTGCACCTGCAGGAGGTTGTCAACCTGTTTTGTATAGTATAATTCTATATGATAGTGCTTAAATTAATGCCAGTAATTGTTGTATAGTACATTTCTATTGTGATAGCACTTAAAATAATGCCAACAATTGTTGTGATGCTGCTAACACTTTACATAGAATGTGTAAACAAATTTTCATTGCTTCTGTTTCCAGGCAATCTCGATGATACCCTTGATCAAGGTGTAATTACAGACTTGGGCACTCAACTAAAAGAACAGCCATTATCTATAGCATTGTCCACTTTTGTACCATTTCTGACATAATTTTTAAAAATACATTTTAAACTAAATTTGTTACATGGACGCATATACATTAAGTCTTCGCTTCCTTGTTTTTATGTACAATTGATTCAATATGTACAATATCAAAGTTGTTTGTTTCAACTTTTATAAATTTAAATTAAAGAAAAAATATTACACATATGTTGTGTTTTCGTACAGACTCCCATGGGTCATCTGTTTGGTAAGCAATATAGGCTTCCAAGCATATTTCAATATTTTCAGCATGAAGCTATGAAGTACAAACAATAAACCAGCAAAATCTGACCTCCCTCCATGCAAAATAGATATCTGCAAGATGTAAGTGTTGTCGAACTGATATGTTTCAGTGTAAGTCTGGCTTAAAGGATGTGATTATTGGTCAATGGCCAATCTCTCATTCATGCTCTTCTAGAGAATTCCATCTATCTGATCTAATGCATTTTCTTTTTATAAAACAAAATAGAACAGTACAATGTACAAAAGAAAATACCTCATTTACATATAATTTTATAAACTTTGAGAAGTAGAAACTGTATGTATAATTGTTATAAAAATCTATATTTTCCATACTTAACATAATCTCCCCTGTAGTTTTACCACTAATAGGAAATAGTTTTATGGTCTATTTTTATTATACATTTTAAAAAAAATGGCTTCCTGGTATATATTTAATTTTAAAAAGAGATAACTGTTTACCTTAAGAAGATAAAAGTAATTGTTGCACTTTAACTTTGCAAGCTCTTAAAGGATTATCAATATTATTTGGAACTTAAAATGTGACATACCACACAAAACTAATAGCAACTTTTCTCCTGTGGAGTGCAGCTAAAAAGACTAATTAGTGCAGCCTAAGTAACAAATTGTTTTGTTTGACTTAGTATTTCTCTGTGAAATTGTGTAAACAAATTTTCAGTGTTTTGTACGAAATCTATATGATACCCTTGATCAAGGTAAACCTGCAGTCCTGGGCTCGGCAAAGACAGTGATTTTGTATTTCAGGATTTTTAGGGTGCCCTGAGTCCACCCAGCCCTAATGGGTACCTGACTTTAGTTGTGGAAAAAGTAAAGGTGGTTGGTTGTTGTGATGGCCACATGACATCTTGCTTGTTAACCGTCGTACAAAGAAACATGACTTTAAAGCTGCCCTATTAAATCTCAAAAACTATTTGTGTAAACGTCTATAACTTTAAAAATAAAGACTAAAAATGACACTATTCTTTGTTCATTATTTTCCTTGAATATTAAAACAAAAAATACCAACTTGTATACAGGAATTAGAGTGTAATAAGGTAAAGGAATTGAAACACTGAGTAATCTAAAGAATGGTTATCCAAGTAGACCACCATATATTTTTTTACCAGTTCGATTCTGGAATTGAAATTATTTTTAAAATTTACTTTATGGAAATGACTTTTCATAAACTTCTAAAAATTTTCATGAACTTCTAAAAACAGTCCTGAATAAACAAAAAAAAAATGTCAGTGTTTTATTTGAAAATGTTTATTATCAATAATAACAGAGTCAGTAATTTAAAGACATAACACTGAATCATTCATCCACAAATTATTCCAACCTAAGACAAATTAGTTCAGGAATTTTCACAGTCAATAGAAATATGACAGAAAATATACACTAAATCCATGAAACAAACTACATTAAACTTCAAAAATTGTAACAGGAGACAACATTATGTCTACCCAGGAAAAAACTCTGTGTCGAAAATTTGTAAAATTCAAATGGCATCTTGGCTAATCTGAGTCACTACCATCAGTCTTCTTGTTAAGACGACTGATTTTCTTTTTATGGTGTTCAATAGCATCCTGTAACAAGACAATAACAATTAGTGAATGTTAAGACTAATGCAAGCATAACATAAAATTGATTTGTAATAAAGGAACATTGTAAATTGGTGCATTTGTATAAGATTATGAATGTTAATGGTTTCTTTGTCATGATTAAGTATTAAATACTTTTATATTATTATATTTTGATAAAATCTAGCCAACTCATAAATTTAAATATATTAATGAAATTAAAAAAAAAACAAATTTACATTATTTTTAATACATAATACCTCCCTTTAACTGTCAGTTGGAGATGCTGAGTAAACATTTGAAATATTACAATATTTATACACTATGTCAAAAGGTGAATTGAATCTTCTTTTTTTAAAACTATTTATCAATACATAAAGATTACGAGTAATTTTTCTTACCTGGTGTTGTCTAATCTGTCGTTCATGGTGGCTAACTTCATCTTCCAATAGATCTTTCAACTTTTCCATCTGTTCTTTTTGCTGTGGAAATTGTTAATTAGTTTACATTAAAATGAGTTGTAAAATGAACCAGCGTAATATTTCATATAAATCCCTAAGAAGAAATGGAAAGGTTTACAATTATTTTATCATATACCTGGCACCTGATGATTATTTATGCCTATTTGTGCACTTTTTTTTTTTACAATACCTCTATTCTATTTTAAAAATAATTTTTTAATGATTTCAAATCACACTAAAAAAAAATAAAAAAATAAATAAATTGTAACAGAATAAAAATATATGTATAATTACTTTTAAATATAGCTCAATAATGTGTTAAATCTTTAAGATTAATCCTACCCAAGAATTATTTATTATTTACTAGCACCCTTTACTGACACCCCTCACAAACAAGACAGCATTTGATAGGTAAATACAGAAAAAGACAATCAATTGCAAAGAGTGAATAGAAGGCCAATGAGACCAGGAGGCTAAACAAAAAGCTGGACAATAAAGAAATATTTATATTTATTTACCAGTTGGCGAAAGTACTGTTCTTCTTTGGCCACTTCCATTTTGCCAAAAGCACCTCCAGCCTCCCTGGTGATAAAAACTTTATATTAAAAACAGATAATTTAAGTCTTTTAAATGCAAATGGAGAAAGATGGTCGACAAATCTTGTGTAGCGCCCCAACAGACTAAGGGATAGGTGAAGGTGAAATACAATAAAAATGATGACTGAAGAACATAACTTAGTGAGACATTTTAAGTAAGGAAGATAAAGAGTGTTACAGCTGCCAAACTAAACTGAAAGTCTTAGGTTAAGGAAGATGTTCCAAAGATAATTCTAAGAAGGATAGTGCTGCACCTCAGTGCCTCATCACTGAGCTGGCCATATCATACAATTAGTGAATGGCCAAAGAAAACTGGTAAACTCATCTTATTCTTAACATATACAAAAAAAAAAAAAACAACAACTGAGAATATATAATGTAGTGAAATAATAATGATTGATTTGTTAAATAATAGATACTTCTTTTTCTTTCTGAGTTATGCACAAGAATTAGTATAGTCTCTCCACAGAACAACCTACCTGTGTATAATTAAAAACAAATACATGCAATGATGTTATTGAAGGTTAAACCCTTGTAAACTGAATCATCACAGCAAATAATTACAATACAAACCTACATTAATCAAATAGAATGTAGATACCATTAACCGATAAGCTAGAATTTAGACTGACTGTCCCAATGCACACACCTGACTCCATTAACAGTCTTTTGATTTCTCTGGAAGTGATAGTTACATTTACCCCCCCCCCCCCTTACTATCTAGAAGATTCTTTACTTTTCCCTAACTATTGTCAGGTTCTGGTACCCATTAAGGCTTGGTGGACTCATAGGCACCCTAAAGATCCCGAAATTTAAAATACCAGTCTTCATCAAAATTCAAACCCAGAACCTCTCAAATTGAAAGCAAATTGCTTTACCATTCAACCACCATGCCTCCAACTTATAATAAAATGAGACCTTACTATGTAAATTGACATGAAAATATTTACCTAACAGCTCCACCAGCACCACCGCCCTGTGTAATAGAAAAAAAAAATTTTTTCTTTTTCTTTACAATCTATATGCTTAAAAAAAATTAAACACAATGTAAATTAATAACGCTATTAAATAAACTAACTGTAAAATGTAACCTTCTTTTTTTAAGAAATTACCTTTCCTACACCATCACCAGGATTGCCAGAGGTTACTGCCCTTGCACTGGTACAAATTAAAAAGAAATGGGGGTTACAGTATAAGAAAATATAAAGTTAATATTACAAATAATAAATATCAACCAAACACTACTCAATAGTGTGGTTAATCTTTAAAAAGAAATTAACTACTGTAAATCACAGGTCTGTGAGAAACCAAAAATTAACTTCTAAAGGTTATATTTATAATATAATACAAATAACACCAAATTACACATTTCAAACCAGGAAGAAAGGGTATTCACAGGTATATACACAACATATACATAAGTAGCTTAAAATTTGTTTAGATACTTTGTCTAATTAAATATGTAGCCACTCTGCCAATGTTAAAACATTGTGTGTATGCTGAAAACAAAATCTGTTTGCAATGTATTTTAAATTCACCTTTGCTTTGCATGTGACTGAACAATGTTAAAAAAAAAACTGGAGGGTCTATTCTAGTTGAAATGAGGATAAGCCTTTTTAAAATAATTCTTATCAACCATCAACTGTCCCCCCCCCCCCCCAAATTGTTGTCTAAATGTTATTATTACTTGAATCTAAATTATAATTATATTTTTTCAGTTTGAGTAACTAGAATTATAACTAGATTTAATAATTATTATAATTAGAATAGACTAGAATGGCTAGCTCATATAATGTAATGATTAGTCACCAGAATTGGTAATTCTGCAGGATTTCAAGGGGCAGCCATCTTTGTTATTGTTTAGACTGTAATCTTGTATCTTGGGTTTTCTCTCCGATTAGGGTTTTTGTTTTTATTTTTGAAGCTAATTAATTATGCTAGATCTAGCTTTACCGGTATAACCTAGTCCTAATAAGTCTATTAATTAGACTGAAAATCTAATTGCTAGAACTAGACTAATTACTATCTTAATATGACCAGGTTCTTAAAGGAAATAAAGATCAATTATTTTTTGGTAATAAACTGTGCTGATATTTATTGTAGGCCTAGTTAAATTTAGATTCTCTATATCAGAAAAATTCAGAATAGATATACTATAGACAATATTTAACAATTAAAAAGAAGAAAGAACAATAAGAAATGTATTGTATTGACACCAAGTCAAAATTAAAAAAAAAATAGCATTGCTTTGAAACACAGAAGTAATGTTAATTCTTGGTATTTTTTAAGACACTATCTTGGGATTTCTTTGGAACATAAACAATAACAAAATAGTAACAAAGATGGCTGCCCCTTGAACTCCTGCAGAATTACCCTAGAATTCACTAGATTTGATCTAGAAATCTAGATCTAAATCTAATGACTAATCATTTTTTAAAATTTGGATGGCTCTAGTAAACTCTAAATTAAATTACTCATAGAGTCTAGCCTAGTCAATCTAACTAATACTAAGTCTATCTAGAGAATAGAAAAGATATACTATGATTAGTATGATATAGTGACAATAGTCTAGAATTCTAGATCTAGGCCTAGGTTAGTATTAGTTACTTCATCTAGAATAATAATAAAAAATTAAATAATCTAGATAAATAAAGACTAAACTAAAGATGTCCAAATTTAGATCTAGTCTAGACCTATCTAGATGGATCTACATCTAGATAAAGTTTCACAAAGATTTCCAGATTGATCATTTGATGACATTGACCACTGAAAAAATTGACATCAACACCAAATATTCATGATAAATTTTAATGAAAATTAATGAAATGATCATGATCATGATGTAATTATTGTAGTCTGTACTGTAGTCTTTGCCATTTTTTTTCTATCAAGTCGAGCGATTAGATACTTATCTAGAATTATCTAGACTCTGAATTATTCTACTGCGTTGTTAAGTGAAGTTCACCATGGCATGATTATGATTATCATGGTCAAGAATTAAAAACATTCACTTTTTGGTGGGATTCACTCTGATTGTGACTGTCAAAAAGTACAAATACTACAAAGTCTACACTAATTAATATTGAAGATTCTAATCTACATACATGAGAAATGTCTACAAAGAGAGGAGAATAATGACTGAATGTCCTTACCTCATTATTCTTAATGCGGGTAATCGTAAAATTGTTGGTAGTCTGGATGCCATGTTCTAATGTTGATCGTAGATGGAATCTGAAGGTCAATACAATACTTAATATAATAATGTATTTTATGAATTGCTTCCCCTTATTCCAGATCAATGTGGAAGTTTACAAATGTTATACACAAAAATAAGCTTAAA